CGCCTGCCGCTAGCGCGACAACCCGGCCCAGCCGCCTCATCCTGCACCGAGCCCGCCGAGCGAAGGGGCGAAATCTCCCCGCCGGCGCGCGCCGGCGCCGACCAGGCTTCGCCTGGCCGCGCCCTCTGGCGGCGGCGAGGTGGAGGAGGAGAAGGCGGGGGACCCCGTCGGCGGCGGCTAGGGTTTCCTCCTGGTCACGAGCGGGGCGACCCGGGAGGAGGGAGGGAGCGGGGGGGACCGCTTAGCCATCTGGCTCAAATATTAAAAGGGCCTCATGTAAATATATGAACTTAAGAAGATATATCTCATGTCAATGTGGTATTGTTTAGATCAATTAATATTGTCACGTGAGTGCTTACTTGTTTTGTTCCTATCCTACCCTGCATAATGGTGTAACAGAGCCAACATATGAATGTTATCATGATTTCTTGAACACTGTAAAAACCATAAATATATAGTCAATCAAGAAATATGTGTGGAGAATCCAACTTTTACTTTTTTATGCCATTATTAAAGATCAAAATGATAGAGAGCCATTGGGGATCAAAATGAAAGATAGTCATTTCCTAGGAAACAGAATCATTTTATTTAGGGAAGAGAAAGAGAATCGTACATCATCTACATGAATTGTTTGGGTAGTTCCTATGTTTTCCGATAGTGGAGGTTAACTAATTTCTGTATATCTTCACACCTTGTCAGTTTCTTTCTTTCTATGTAGAAAATTATTTAATGCATCTCTGCATACAGCCTCTCTATTAAAACGGATCCTGATGGTGGCATTGAGATTGAAAATCTAGTGGCAGTTACCGTGAATAATTTTCAAGAAGTGAAAAGATTATATGGTGTGGGGACCCGTCTTAGATCAACAGCTTCCACTATGGCTAATTCTACATCAAGTAGATCTCACTGGTAACGTATTTATGTACTTATTGGTAAAAAAAACGTATTTATTTATTTTACTGAAGAAAGCATGCCTTATTTCATAACAATTGAGAAGACATTAACCATGGTTGCACCTGGCTAAAAGAGGTCCTGAATCAGAAGTGGAGAACAAATTCTCACTAAACCCTCCTATGCTTGTGTAAAGAGAAATGACTCATTTTAGAAAGAGAACAGGGCGGATGGATTGCTAACCTGAAGCTTATATTCTTTTGTATTCATTTATGCAACAGTTTGATTCGCATTTCATTGACCTCCTTTGATGCACCTGAGAGAAAAAAAGCAAGAAACAAAATATGGATGATTGATCTAGGTGGAAGTGAGAGACTTGTAAAGACCAAAGCAACTGGTAAAAGGCTGAAGGAAGGCAAAGCCATAAATTTGTCATTGTCAGCCCTAGGGGATGTGATTGATGCACTACAGACTAAAAAACCTCATGTACCTTACAGGTATGTGAAATTCACCATGCTCATGTTTGACAGTTGGCACAAATCATTGTTATTTTACCATTAAAGTTGAAGACAGTGATACCTTCCACTTCTTTGATTTTGCAGGAATAGTAAGCTTACACAAGTTCTGAGAGATTCTCTAGGTAAACAGAGCCTCACTGTGTTCTGGAGGAAGTTTTTAACTTTCTTGTTTTATAAACTTAGATTTCGTGTAGCTCACCATGCTGTATTCATGTTCACAGGATGCGAGTCCAAAACATTGATGCTTGTCCATATTAGACCAAATGAGAATGATTTGTGCGAGACCGTTTGTACCTTGGGTTTTGCAACAAGAGTGAGAAGTATCCGTCTAGAAAGTGAAGAATCGCCAGTAAGTTTTTGCAATTATCACTAACATGAATATACATCCAAGAAAATGATAACGGTATTCATCATTTCTATGAGCCTATGGGTCAAATATTGCGTGGTTTAGTCAATTCAAAGCTAATGCCAAACATTTCGATTGATAAAATGACAACTCAGCTGATATGAGACTCATTTAGATCTGCCAAATTAATGAACATTCCAGAAATTAACACAATGGTATGCATTCATGCACACACCATGAGTAACCCAACAATTTTAGATATGGGTCAAAGTTTTTATCTACTTGATAACACTCTTGCTACAAGGTAAATAATATTTTGATATCAATCAGGAGGTAAAAACAAGGAAGGAAGATTTCTTAAAGGAGTTAGAACAGACGGTCAGTAATTTGGAACAAGAATGTGACAATATTAGAAGAGAAATTAAGAAGCTCAAGGATACAGTGGAACATTTGAGAGGGCCTCAAACATCTGCTAGCACAAATTTTGCAACTTCACATCCGTCCACTCAGGAACTGAAGATTGACATGTCAAAGAATGTAAGAAGTCTGAAGAATCATAGAGAAGTTCCGTGTGGGTTACCAAGGTTCATGAAGCCAACTGCTGCTAGCCAGCACAGGATAGGTTTAAACAACAATGTTCCCAGTATTAACAGGATGAAACCACCAATGCCACCAAAGAGAAGGCCTTCTTCTGTCTATGCAGAATCTGTAAGATTTCCAGTAAATGCCGATACTTGGCAGTCAGAATGCAGTTCTGAGTGCAGTATCTCCATGACAAGTGACATGAATTGGACACCGAGCATACTAGATGGGACTCAATGTAGCCAAGATGCATCAGAGTACGAGATCAAACAGGTGATTTTCTCAGAACATGAGAAACCATCACAGGGTCAAGTCATTTCCTTCAAAGAATGGCAACTTACAGAATCAGAGAATATGCAGAACAAAACTGAAGAAAGGAGTATTATAGACATTGATAATTGGATCCACCAACAAATACTTCAAAGTGCTGACACATGCCAAAGCAAAAGGGTTGTAACTGTTCCCAATGTAACTGAAGAAGAAACTTTCAATATTCCTTCACCAATTAAGATTGAAGGGACTAAAAGTTGTAAGCAAGCACAGGACGAAAAAAGTGAACTAACCCTACAACCCCCACCACTCGATGCAAAGGATATAAAGCGACCCAAGGCAGTTAATCATTTCGCCACAGCAGAATTATACAGTCCTCCATCAAGAGAACATTGCAGAACCAACGAGACAAAGAAACATATGAATGAAAATCTTGCATATCAGGGGAGATCCAGAAGATCTCTTCAAGAAAAGCTGGATGGTTGCATGCTAAAGCTGCCAGAATCTGATCTCAATACAAGTCCTGAAATCAGGCCCCAGGAAGAGGAACACAGCATAGGTAATGTTGTCTACCATTGGAGAATGTGCTTTGGGAATAATTTATTTGGCGACAAAAGGGCATTATACATCCAGTGATATCTGGATCGGTTGATGTTATATCTTATAAACTTGGAATCAACATAGGAGAATGGCTTGGCATAAACAAAATTAGAGTATGCATATACAGAAGTAGATTATTTAGAAAACAAAAGTGGGCAAAAAGATCAAAACTCCAGTCACTTAATGCTTTCATATGCATTAACATAAACAAACTTTGCTGCGTTCACATCTATTCAAGTGATTACAAACACCTGCAGATGGTTTAAATTAAATTATGTGTGGTCTAGAACTGTTTTCTCCCTCATACCCACCATCTTCATTTAGCAATGATAAGGCAGATTGAGGAAACACAGCGAAACCTGCAGATGGTAATATGGTTCTTATAGTACTTTTACTGCAAAAGTACTCGAGCGCAGCGAAGGCAAAATAAATCAAAGAAGATCATCACTAAGACAAACTTAAAAAAAAACTCATAGACCATGTGTGGTTTAATGCAACTGCTGCTAGATAGTGGACTGTTGAAAAAACCTATGGCAAGTTGTGAGCTTCACTGTTCACTGTTCAAACAAATAACTGAGCTACAGAGTCACCATCCCAGAGTGAAACTAGAATAAGCCTTCTGGAGCTTGAGTTATGGACAATAATAGAAAGAAATTCAAATTAACACGAGACTTTATGATTGCTATCTAAGGATGTTGTTTAGACTTTCCTGTGAAGGAAGAACAGTGAATTCAGCAAAATCAAGTCCTAAGAGGATAATACTCCCTCCGTTCCATGGAGGGAGTAGTTTATACATAATAACTAAGAAAACAGTGATGGGATACAGTTAGGTTATACTACAAAAACTAACTGTGTTGTTGTCGCCTTAACAGAAGTAATGATGTAAATCTTTGTGATGTTACCATATTATTATATAACACAAACTGCACAATTAGCATAAATGTTTATTAATTTTAGTGGCCTAAATTTCCACTTCTGCACTTCTTTCAATGTACATATAGTCCCTACAGAGGCTATATGTTTACTTATTTTATTGTTTTGCACAGGAAAACTGAAAAAGTTCTTTCAAGCTCTCCAAACAGCATGGGGCTGTGTTCGTCTAGGATTAGGCATTGTCAACCTTGGATTAGAGCACGAGTTCTTTCAAAGCTTGATACTTTGAAGTAACTGTAATGTCGTCATTTTAAGAGGTAGTACTCACTTTTGAGAGTACACTACTTTAGGAATTGTACTGCCGGTTTGTCACTGCGGCAGGTGAATTGCTGATCTGATGCTGCATTGCTGCAACAGTTGGTTTGATGCCAGATGGATTGTTCTAGGAATATAGTGGAAGTTGTAAAAAAAGTGTTTGAGTGAACAAACTATGAATGAGAAATTTGACATATCCTGAAACAGCAACTGTTAAAGTGTGTACAGATGAAACTGCACTATATTAATTCAGTGGTCGTATTTAGCTAGCTGATTTAGTTACATGTCAAAGTAATGCATGCCATAAGGCCAGAACAGTAACTTAAGGTACTATGCTACATATTCTTAGCTAAAATTCAAAGCCAAGGGAAACAACTGATCACTTAACAGCAGGTAAGGGGCTCTTGTTAGTTAATAGATGATACCCTTACCCTTACCTGTAGCCAAAGCTCACAGGCTTGGTTAGTTCGCATCATGAGAACAAATCTCTCATATAACAAGCCAACGATTACACCATCAAGGATCAGCTATCTAAATTTGGACCTTCCGTACACACAAACCGATATACTCTTCGAAGAATGCTCTTACTTAATGCTCTTACAGTCTTACCCTTCTTCAATATCATGCGGTGCTTCAGGGAGCACGGCGACATAACCAATGGATTTCATGTCAGCGGTGATCTCACACAATACTTTACGTATCTTATGTAAGCAAGGATGTGATCCATCTCTGGAAGTGAACTCATGAACCACACCATCAACTTCAATAGAACTTGCCCCTGGTACATTTCTTAAGCCCCCGTCTCTCATTGCCTTCCGAAGTTTCCTCACTTCATCCCACCTCTCCTGTTCTGCATAAATGTTTGACAGGAGAATATAGTTCCCACTATTGTGAGGCTCAAGCTCAATTAGATGCAACAGGGCTTGTTCCCCAAGGTCAGCATCACCATGGGTCCGAGCAGCGGCAAGAAGAGCCCCCCATATTGCTGCATTTGCCTTGAAAGGCATGTCCTTAACTAAGTCTCGAGCTTCCATCAAACAACCAGCACGGCCAAGTAAATCGACCATGCATCCATAATGTTCAACTCGTGGCTTAATCCTGTACTGAGATACCATGATTTGGAAATACCAGCGACCCAAATCAGTCAGTCCAATGTGGCTACATGCTGACAGGATGGCAAGAAAAGTAATGTCATTTGGTGCCACATTCTCCCTTTCCATCCGGCGGAACATATCAACAGCTTCCAAACCAAGGCCATGCAAAGCAAATCCAGCGATCAACGTCGTCCAAGTCACAATGCTCTTCTGCCCCATACCCTCAAACACCTCCACCGCCTTGGCAACACACCCGCATTTGAGGTACATGTCAATTATGGCGTTCATCAGCGGTATATGCCAGCATAACCCCCGCTTCACCACGAACCTGTGCACCCATTCCCCCAAATCAACCGCTCCGAGATCCCCACAAGCCGACAACACCGACAGCATTGCTATCCCATCAGGCTCGATGCCCTCCTCAACCTGCATCCTCCGGAACACCTCAACTGCCTCTGCTGGCCGTTTCATCTGCGCATATGCTCCGATCAAGGTCGTCCACGACACGACGTTCCTCTGTGGCATAACATCGAACAGCTCACGCGCACAGACCAGGTCCCCGGACTTGACATACCCCGAGATGGTGACGTTCCAGCAAAAGATGTCCTTGTGGACCGTTTCATCGAACACACTGCGTGCGGAGGCTGCGCAGGCACAGGAGAAGTAGGCCTGGATGAGGCTGGTCGAGACGTGCGCGTCGGAGGCGAGCCCGGCACGGACGACAACGGAGTGGAGCTGCGGGCCGAGAGTGCCACGCAGGTGGGGAATCCGGGCGGCAGCGTTGAGGGACACGGAGGGGTGTGTTCGGCGGAGGAGCGCGAGGGCGTGGGGACGGAGAGGGAGGCGGAGAGAGGCGAGGAGGAGCGCCGAGAGGAGTCGCGCGTTGCGGTGGCCGCCGCGGGGGAGGAGGAAGGCGTGCGCCTGCAGGAGGTGGCGCGGGGAATCGAGTCGGTTGAGCAGGGAGAACGCGCGGTGTAGCGCTAGGGGCAGAGGCGGCAGCGGCGGCATGCGGCGGGGTGGTGACTGCCGGACAGTGGCCGGACTTCGTGCATTCGTGACGCGGGGTACCGTGTTTTGAACAGGCCTGGAGACCAAACCAACCGGGCCGGAGTTTAGTATTGGGACTTTGGGCCCGGTATCCTCTCCAAATACACACATAGGCCGGCGAAACGAAATCAGAGCACTATCATTTTCACTAATTTTCACTCTGCCTCAATTGCGACAAATGGCACGCGGCATGTGCATCACTTGTCATAACAGGCAGTTTTCCTTTTTTTCGTAGATCCGTTTATTCAAAACATTTATCTCTTAAATTGTGTGTCTAAATCTCAAATTGTTTTCACCATTGGATTCCTCGCGTCAAGATCTTCAAAACTAGATTGATTGGTTTGATGAACTTTTTTTCACGAAAACTGGACAAAAAACAGAACTGGGAGCACATTTATTTTCCTTTTCGAAAGGCGTTTCCGAGAGGCACGGCCGTGTCTCTTGCGGAAGCAAATCCTTGCCTCTCGCGGAAGCAAAACTGTGGCTCTCACGAAAGGAAAAAAAAAGGAAACACATTTTTTTTCGTTTTCAATAGGCACGACCGTGCCTCTCGCAGAAGCAAAATATGTGCCTCTCGCGGAAGGAGAAAAAAAAAAAGAAAATATGTTTTTTCGTTTTCGAGAGGCAGTCGTGCCTCTCACAGAAGAAATTTGTGCCCCTCACGAAAGCAAAGTCGTGCCTCTAACGGAAGGAAAAAATAAAAATGCATTTTTTTTATTTGCGAGGGGCACGGTTTTTTCGTCGGACGCGAGCCCGGCACGGACAGCCGTGCCTCTCGCGGAAGCAAAACCGTGCCTCTCACTGAAAAAAAAACGTGTTTTTCCCGTTTTCGAGAGCCAGGCCATGTCTCTCGCGGAATCAAAGAAACGCACCTTTTTTTTCACTTTCGAGAGGCACCTCGGCCTCGGTCCAGTGGCGGAGAAGGCGAAGACGACCGCGAGGGTACCTCCTGGTCATGCTGGCTTGGCGAGGGGAGGCCGGGGGCTACGCCTACGGCAGTGCCATGGCGACGGCAGCGTCTGCTTTGCGCGGGGAAGAAAGAAGCGATGCGAGGGAGGGGGGAGTGAGGAACTAGGGTTCGTGGGGGAGAGAGACGGTCGGGAGTGGTCTTATCCACTCCACGGTGCAACAATGGCGAGGGGGGTCCGGGCGCTGGCCATGGCGTCGGCCTTTCCCTGTCGCTGGTGAGAGGTAGGGGAAAGGCCGGCGTTCGTTGGCCGGGCCAGCCTGTAGCGCGGTTGGGCCATAGTGTATAGGGTCTTTTTTTATTTTCTCTTTTTATTTGCTGCCCTTTTAATTCTCTTTTATTTTGCAAAATGTCTGGCCACCAATTCACTTTTGCAAAATATGAGACTTGGTTCAATAACTACCAAGCAATATTTAGCACTACCAGAAAAAGTTTGGAGACAAAATGTTTTCATTTGAATTTTTATTAAACGAAAACGGCTTAAATATTGATATTTTGGCACTATTTTAACATAATTAAGTTCATTTAAATATTTCAATTAATGTTGATTCCTTCATGACAATTACCTACTGATTATTTACAAAAATATGAACACTTTACTTTTCGTATTTGAAGAGATAATAATTTGATTTATTTTGAACTTAAATTTAAGTTTGGTTTTAGACTAGTAGCATTTTGGTTTAGTAAAAATTAGATGGCATGGCATGATTAGGATGTGGTCATTGTAGTTAACCCCTGGGGGTGTTATATGATTAGACCCTTAACAAGTAAAAGTAGTAGTTTTTACAATTCTTCAAGTTAAGGTTGAGTTTAGCACATGTTAAAGAGCACACAATACATTTTACACAAGCATGGCATGAGTATAGGCAACGGAAGAGTAAAGCATGCAAGTGTAAGAATGTAAAAGAGATGGGAATTGGAATGAGCAAACGCAACGGAGACGTGGAGGTTTTTGCGTGCTTCCAATAGGTGGTGCTATCATATGTCCACGTTGATGGAGACTTCAACCCACGGAGGGTAACAGTTGCATGTCGGAGGCTCCCAAGCGACACCTAACCAATCTAGGAGACACCACTCTCCAAAAGGTAATAGATTGTGTGTAGATGATGAACTCTTTGCTCTTGTGCTTCAAATGATAGTCTCCCCAACACTCAACTCTCCCTCGCTGATTTGGCTATGGTGAAAGAAGGATTTGAGTGGAAAGCAATTTGGGGGAGGCTAGAAATCAAGGTTCAAATGGTTGGAATGGAATCTCTTGATCTCAACACATGAATACGTGGTTCTCTCTCAGAAAATAAACGGTGAAGTGTAGTCATGTTCTGATGGCTCTCTCACTAGGTAAGAGGGGGTGGAGGGGTATATATAGCCTCCGCACAAATCCAACCGTTACACACATTTGACCCAACTCGGTGGCACCGATCAAAAATCTCGGTGGTACCGACCTGTGTAAAAGATATGAACATTGAAGGTCTCATTGGGACCAAATGGAAACATCTGGAGCGATTGATATGCAATGTTAGGGCAAAACCTCGCTTCGGTGGCACCGATTGCTGTTGGGGAACGTAGCAATATGAAAGTGCGTTATATCGACTAGAGGGGGGTGAATAGGCGATTTTTATGAATTCTTCACTGAGGAATTTGCCGGTGAGGAAATTCCTTACTGAAGAACTACTAGCAGCAGAATAAGTACTCAGAAATAAACATAACAGAATACAAGCATGGTCATCATGATGAAATGAGGACTAGCACAGAGTACAGAAAGCGTAATCACAGGATAACACAAGATGAAGACAAACAGACTGAAGAAATTGAACTGAGGAAATTGAGAAAGTCTTCAGTCAAAGTCTTCAAACACAGATATGAACAACATTCAACACAGTAATGAGGAAATGGAAAGGTTGAGGAAATAGAACCAGTTAGTTGGTGAAGACAATGATTTGGTAAACCAGTTCCAACTGCTGTCTCAGTTGTACGTCTGGTTGGAGCGGCTGAGTATTTAAACTCGAGGACACGCAGTCCCGGACACCCAGTCACTGAGCCGCAACTCAGGACACCCAGTCCTCACCGTATTCTCCTTGAAATAAGACCACGCAGGCCTCGTCCAATCACTCGTGGTAAGTCTTCAGGTGACTTCCAAACCTTCACAGACTTGGTCACTCGGTGATCCACAATCCTCTTAGATGCTCTAGACCTTGACGCCTAACCGTCTGGAAGAAGCACAGTCTTCAAAGGTAACAAGCGTCGGATCCATGCAGGATCAATTTCTTCAGTGATGCTCAATCACTTTGGGTTTGTGGGGGTTTGGTTTTGGTTTTCCTCACTTGATGATTTTCTCTCAAAGTCCTCGGAGGATGGGTTGCTCTCAAATGACAAGTGTCAAGTTCTCTCGGAGCAGCCAACCAACTAGTGGTTGTAGGGGGCGGCTATTTATAGCCTAGGGAGCAGCCCGACATGATAAGACATAAATGCCCTTCAATGATATGACCGTTAGGTGGATAAGATATTTTGGGACAGCCGGCGCGCAGCACAGCAATGGTCGGAAATTTGACTGTCGAAGTCCTCAGGGCTATCATGTTCCTCACTGTGTAGGCAATTCGCACTGGCGAATTCCTAACTCCTCAGTCAGAGCAAAGTCCTCAGTGACCAGAAGAACTGCGTCTCTGTCACTGAAGAAATTGACTGAACTGTATGAGATTTCCAATGGCTTCACTCGAAGGGATTGGTAGATGTAGGATTTTGAGTTGAGCATCACATGGAAAATTTTCCTTAGTATTTCCTCGACCCCCTTTAACAGTACGGTGTTTCCTATGACTCAAGAAAGAGAAAATGAAACTACGAAAACAAAAGTCTTCACGCTTCATGTTCCTCAAATGAATATCAAGTCTTCAAGGTCACACCAATTTCTTCACTTTCAAAGTCTTCAGAAAGTCTTCAGAATATCAAAGTCTTCAGTCGAAGAACTTCATTTTTAGGGGTCAACTTTCTCTGTAAATATCAAACTCCTCATAGACTTATAGACCTGTGTACACTCACAAACGCATCAGTCCCTTAACCTATAAGTCTTCAATACACCAAAATCACTAAGGGGCACTAGATGCACTTACAATCTCCCCCTTTTTGGTGATTGATGACAACATAGGTTAAGTTTTCAACGGGGATAAATATATGAAGTGTAAGTACTGATATTGAGGAATTTGATTGCAAGATATAGAAGAACTCCCCCTGAAGATGTGCATAGTGAGGAATTTGCTTTTGAGGCAATGCACATTTGAAGAGTTGAATCATGGAGATCTCCCCCTATATCTTGTAATTCATACACGCATTTGATATATAATATGAAGAATTTGAAATGCATGATGAAATATGGTGCCTGATGTAATTCAGCATGCGTGCAATAATATTAACGAGGAATAAGCATGCAGAATATCACATCAAAAGTATCAGATCATAGTGCATCAAAAGTCAGAGCACCATCCAAAAGTATCAGAGCACCATCGGGTTTAAGATTACAACTCGATCCAATAAAAGTTTCGGAAGAACGAGAGTTGTAACTTAAGAAAAAAACGCCCTTAGTATAGACCCGCTTGAAGACTAACTTAGATTTCTCCCCCTTTGTCATCAAATGACCAAAAGGATCGAAACTGAGGACTAACGCCCCTGAAGAATTTTTAAGTCGATGGAGGAGCGCCAACGTTGTCGGGGTTGTTTGTTGTAGCAGGGCCTGCCGCAGTGTCGTCCAAATCTTCATATTCATCAGTGTCGCGTGATGAAGAATAAGAGCTGGCCACCAGTGGAGGAACTTTGACCCTCTTGAATTTCTTCGGAGGAGGTGCAGACCAGTCAAATTCTTCCTTAAGACTCATAGTCTTCAGTTCTTCAGCGCTATAAACATGAGTGAGAACAGCCCAGGTGCGGTTGAGGGTTTCATGAAGGTAGTAGTGGTTCTTCTTCACTGCATTATGTGTTGAGGTCAGGTTGTGAAGAATTGCACCAA